TTTTTCGTGTGGTCGACTAGGCCACTCTGATCTCGTTTGTCCTACCCCAGGTACCCGCGATGAGAACGGAAATCTGCCTTTTGGCACCAATCTGAGGGCGACCGAGGATAGGAAACCGGCCGGCTCGAGTGATGGATCTTTCAAGGAACCCCAGCATTCTACATCGAACAAGAAAGATGCCTCCTCGTCAAGTCATAAAGAGGCTACTTATGCTGAAGTCACCTCCCCAGTTAAGAAGAGAGACAATCCGAAGAGAAAGGGTGGACCTCAGCAAGAGAAAGTTTATCGGAGGGTTGGTCCACTGGCCTTGCCAAGTAATGTTAGCAATCTGGTAACCGGTGGCGCCCCTACGACTATGGTGGTATTTGCTATGCAGAAAAGAGATGGATCGGTTGACCTGGAAGGAGATGCATATGGTGATGCTACTCGCACAGAACCTGATCCCAAAAAGAAGAAGCCTACACCCCCATCTTCTGAAAATTTGGCAGCGGCTGCGGGGCAGCCCTGCCTAGGTCAATGAGATGCCTAAGTTGGAACTGCCGGGGGCTTGGGAACCCCGAGGCAGTTCGAGAGCTTCGCAATTTTGTGAAGCAAGAAGGGCCCGCGCTGCTCTTTGTTATGGAAACAAAGATCAGGGCAAAGAGGGTGGAAAGTCTGCAGTCTAATCTGGGGTTTGCGGGGTGTTTTGCGGTGGACAGTTCATGTCTGAGTGGTGGTATAGGCCTGTTTTGGTCACAAGAGGTTAATGTTGAGCTGAAAAATTTCAGTCCCAGCCATATTGATGTAATGGTCAGGGAAGCTGACTCGCTTGCTCGGGTGTGGAGATTAACAGGGTTCTATGGTGAACCGAGAAGTGAGGATAGGCACCACACCTGGAGATGTTTGAGGGCTTTGCATGCGATTCCACATCAAGCTTGGTTGTGCCTAGGTGATTTTAATGAGACCTTGTATAGTTCAGAGCACTTTAGTAGGGCCGCAAGACCGGAATGGCAGATGCGTGCGTTTCGGGAAACCGTGGAAGATTGCTCTTTGCAAGATCTTGGTTACACGGGCTTACCCTATACTTGGGATAACAGGCAGGCGGGCAATATGAATGTTAAAGCCCGTCTTGACAGAGTTTTGGCAAATGAAGGGTTCTTACAAATGTTTGAACATGTGCGAGTTCGTCACATTAGCATGGTCGAATCAGACCATTGTTTGATCGCGGTTCATACCGAAGAGAAGCAGCGGAGAAGAGGGGCGAAACCCTTTCGGTATGAGAACGTTTGGCAGTCCCATGTGGATTATGATGCTTTTGTAGCGGAGGTGTGGAACAAACACTGTCAGGGACAGGGACTTGCAGGTATTCAGGCCACTTTAACTCAGCTTCAGAGTGACCTGGGAACTTGGGGCGCTCGTGAGTTCGGCTGCCTAGCCACGAAAGTTAAGAAATTACAGAAGAAGCTGGAGCTCTTGCGACAGCAGTCTATAGGCAGAGGACCAACCGAGGAGGAGAAGGCCACGGTGCTGAAACTTCGAGAAGCACTGCGGCAAGAGGAGATATGGTTCAAGCAATGTTCTCGTGTGCCTTGGTTGCGCAAAGGAGACCGAAACACTACTTATTACCATGCTGAAGCAGCGCAGCGGAAGCGGCTGAATCGGATCGCCAATCTTCAACATTCAGATGGGTCCTTTTGTCAGTCTGAAGCTGAAGATAAGGCGGAGGTGCAGGCGTTCTATCAAAACTTATATACGTCCCAAGGAATTAATGATATGAGCGAGCTGTTGCAGTATGTTCCGGAGCGCGTGAACGAGAACATGAACGCTTTCCTGAGTAAACCATTCGAGCCAGAGGAGGTCCGGACTGCACTTTTTCAGATGTCACCCTCAAAAGCTCCTGGAATCGATGGGTTTACTGCAGGTTTCTTTCAAAGGCACTGGAACCTTGTTCAAGGTGCCCTGGTGCCGGCTATCCTTGGTTTTTTGAATGGTGGTGATTTACCGGTGGGCTTCAATGACACCTCGATTACTCTTATCCCCAAGGTAAAAAACCCACAAAATATTACTCAATACCGACCCATCTCTTTGTGTCCAGTGCCCTATAAGATTGGGGCTAAGATGATTACTAACCGAATGAAAGAGATTATGGATGCAGTGGTGGGAGAGGAACAAAGTGCTTTCGTCCCCGGGCGCTTGATTACTGATAATGTGGTTGTAGCCTTTGAAAGCGTCAATACTATGAGGAGGCGGAAGAAGGGGAAGAATTATACTTGTGCTATCAAGCTGGATATGATGAAGGCCTATGACCGCGTCGAGTGGCATTACTTGGAGGCAATCATGCTCAAGCTTGGTTTTAGCAGATATTTTGTGAACTTGATCATGCGGTGTGTAACTTCGGTCAGATTCTCGGTGAGAGTGAATGGTGAACTACAACCATGATTTACTCCGTCATGCGGTTTACGACAAGGGGACCCTGTTTCGCCTTTCCTCTTTCTCTTATGTGCGGAAGGCCTTACCTCGCTGCTCAATTTCCATGGTGGTCCTAATGTGGACAGAGGTATAAGAGTGTCCTTTCGATCTCCGTGGGTGAGTCATTTGCTTTTTGCCGATGATTGTCTTATTTTCATTAGTGCAACGGAAGAAAGTGCTCACAGACTGAACGAGATTTTACATATATATGCCTTGTGTTCGGGCCAGTCAGTGAATAGAGAAAAGAGTGCTATTTTCTTCTCGCCTAATACCCACACTGATAGACGGCAAGCTCTAAAGCTAGTACTGGGAATTATGGTGGAGGCGTTCAATGGCAAATACTTGGGATTACCTACTGCGGTTGGACGTATTACAAGTGAGACGTTTGATCACATAGGTGAAAGATCACGGAGTTTTATGAACGGATGGGCAGAAAAACTCCTGACTTGTGCGGGAAGAGAAGCGCTTATAAAATCGGTCATCCAAGCCATTCCGACGTTCAGTATGAGTTGTTTCAGACTAACAAAAAAGGTTTGCAAAAGCCTCTCTTCTAGCATGGCTAAGTTCTGGTGGAGTGGGTCTCTTGATCGCAGTTCTTTGCACTGGGTGGCATGGGACAAACTCGCATCTCCAAAAGCCCGAGGTGGCATGGGTTTCCGTGATTTGGAATTGTTCAATCTGGCGCTTTTGGGCAAACATGGATGGAGATTTATTACAAACCCTAACTCTCTATGTGCTAGGGTCATGAAAGGACGCTATTTTCCCGATTGTGAGTTCATGGAAGCCACGGTTCCACAGGGTGCTTCCGCGATTTGGCGAGCTATTGTGTCATGAAGGGAAGCACTTACAACTAGTTTGATCAAAAGAGTGGGCGATGGAGCCTCTATTTCTATTTGGGAGGATCGATGGATCCCGGGTCTTTTCACTTTATCTCCGTCGGTCATACCTGGTGATACTACTCTTGCCACGGTTGATCAACTTATTGATTCTGGAAACTGGACATGGAGGCAAGAGTTGGTTCGACAGTTTTTTACTCCACCACAAGCCGAAGCTATACTGAACATACCTTTGCGCCATGGTGGTGGTGATGATTTCCTGGCTTGGGCCCATGAAAGAAGTGGTATCTACTCTGTGAAATCCGCGTACCGTGCTCTCGTGACTCGGAAAGAGCGTGTTGCTCTAGAGGAAGGGACGGTGACCAATACCTCACAGACCGATGAACAGATGTGGAAACTACTATGGAAGCTCAAGGTCTTGCCTAAGGTACGTGTATTCTGGTGGAGGGTTATCCGAGGTATCCTACCCGATGAATGCACTCTCCGGCATCGACATATCAAAGTCATCAGTAGATGCAATATTTGTCTTGCGATGGATGAGGATTTGATGCACGCTCTAGTGTACTGCTCTCATGCCAAGATGTTTTGGGATCAAGCTCATTCGATGTTTGGCATCCGAAGACCTCGGCTGCACCCAAATACATGGTCACGTGATATCCTTTGTGATGGGCTTTTTTCTAATAGCGAGAGGGCTATTATGATCACGGTTACGTGGTCTATTTGGCATTCAAGAAACAGGGTTACACATGATGACGAACAGCTCGACCAGGTTTCTACTGTCAAACGCATCAGGGAGGATCTTGCTCTCCTTGATATACCGAGGCTCATGCGTCCATTCTGCCTGGTCATGGCTGGGTACCGCCAGATGATGGAGTGGTGAAGATCAATACTGACGCAGCAGTGGGAATGGACAAAGACATTGTGGGTGCAGGAGGTGTGGCGCGCTCAAGTACTGCATTACTTGGGGCGTGGAGTAAGCCCCATCACGGGGTTTCCGATCCGTTCATTGGTGAGACTTTGGCGCTGCGGGATGGAGTTATCTTTGCAAACTTATGCGGCTTCTCACATGTGATCATGGAAACAGATTGCCTGGAGATTGTCAATCTCTGGAAAACTAGTCACTATGGTCTTTCTGTAGTGGCACCAGTACTAGGAGAGATTAGAGAGTTAGCTTCAGTTTTTAATTTCTTTGATATTCAGCATGTAAAAAGAGCAGCCAATGTACCGGCCCATCTTTATGCAAAACATGCATGCACTCTCATGGTTACCGAAAGTTGGACTGGCTCCAAACCCTCTTTCCTGCTCACCAGCTTATTAGCTGATGATGCCAGGAGTTCGTTCGTTGAATAAAGCTCTCTAATTGGAATGCAAAAAAAAAAAAAATCTAGGGTTTGTCTTGCGTGGGCCGCCCTTGGGATTCCTCAGGCGTCTTCCCCCCGTCGACGGCAGCTCGGCGCACGCATCCAGGGATTTCCGCCCCCTTCTCCGGCGCTGGCCAGGAGGTGCCCCAGGTGAGGTTCGACGGTCTCCCCCATTTTTAACCCCATTGCGCACTCAGATCAGTGCGATTTTAAGGAATAAACTATACTTTGTGAACTGTGATGCATTGATGCAGAGCCGATTGGTCTAGCACGGACGACGGCGGCCTCCGGCAAACGCCTCGCCGGCAGCGCTGACAGGCTAAGTGACCTCCCTGATGGCCTCCTCCACACTGTCATGTCGTTCCTCACGGCCCGGCAGGCCGTGCAGACGTGCGTGCTGTCGCGGAGGTGGGAGGACCTCTGGTGCTCCATGCCCTGCCTCAACATAGACGAGCGGGAGTTTCGCACCTCAGCGTCCGATTCCGAGGATGAGGATGAGGCTGGCCCTGACTGTGCTAGGTTTGAGGATTTCGTCATCAATCTGCTGATGTTTCACAGTGCGGCAACATTGGATATGTTCAGGTTTCATACTGTTTCTCGACGAAAGATTAAATTTGCCGACCAATGGCTACGCCGTGGCATCAAGCGCTTCCCCAAAGTGGCGGATATTGATTCGAATTGCTCTTATAAATTACCACGTTTCGGTTCCAGTTCTTCACGCCTCAACAGGCTGCATCTTTCTGGCATTACTTTGGACAAAACCTTCACCCAACAGCTACGTTCTGGCTGCCCGGTCTTGGAAGATTTGGAGCTCAACTGGTGTGTCCTTGAAGATGCAGAAATCGCATCTTGCACACTGAAGAGCTTGACAATTGAGCATTGTACAATTTACCGTCCTAGTGTGCTGACTATCAAAGTTCCGTCTCTTACTTGCTTGGAGCTGGTCTCTTTTAGTCACAATTGGGATGCTGTTGTAGCAAACGAGATGCCGTTCCTCATCAAAGCCACCATTTGCATAATCAATTCGATACAGATACTGCCATGGGAGCTTCTTTTCAGCCTAATTAACGTGAAAGATTTAAAACTGACTGGCTTTCAAGCACCGGTATGTCTCTCCTGCTTATTAGTTTTTTCTGATTATTAAAGGATCTTCTGTCCCCAATTGTAACGAAATAGAGTGTTTGAGCATCTTGCCATTTGAGTTTTTATCTTTGCAATTAATACTAGGATTACTAAACCATACTTATATACGATTTCATTAGACTTGTATCCATCATTTGAACTGGATGATGTTTTGATTCCTCAATTCAGGCGAATCTTCATGTTGGATCGGATACTTTCCCTGTGTTCCATAATATTAGAACCTTGCTGTTTGACACATGCGATCTAAGTGACAAGTTTGATATGCGGGGATGCTTTCTGAACAATGCCCCTGGTTTAGAGAAGCTTACACTTGAAAATTGCACGGTACTTCCTATGTTCCTTGATCTCTGCTCTAGCTTTACAATCTTAAACTTTTCCTGAATTATTTTACTCCCTAAAGCTTCCAGAAGCTTCTAAGGGAAGCAAGACAGGAGGAAATCTGAAGAGGGCATCTCTAGAATACGATGACGCGCTTACTTTCCAATGCCCAAGCCTGAAGTTGACTGAAATCAAATACATATATGACGACGATGTTCAGAAACTGTTTGACCTTTTGCTTGGCGCTTGGAGGAACCTACAGAATACTAACATTGTGATTAATAAGAAGACTTAGGGAGTGATGAAGAAGGCTTGAAGCAGTGAACACAAGCCACTTCTGCAATGCTTATTATTTATGTTCCTCCTTAAATGTAACATGCGCTCTGCCATTTGCGAATGTAATTTTATATATATATATATATATATATATATATATATATATATATATATATATATATATATATAGCCTTTGATGGCAGGACAACTGAACAAGCATTTACTTTGGTTCATTTCTGGATATTCTAATGGTGTGCTTTTATTTGTTGTGTTTGTTGCACGAGTCCATGACACATCTGATATAGCCGATACTGCAACCTGTATTCCATTGGATGGGAGTACATACTGGTGGAAATCACCGCCCTAAAACACAGGAACAGCGTATGCCTAATCTGCTATGTTCTTTTTTTCCCC